CTGGTCTCTGTGAGTCGTTTGTCAGCCAATAACCACAGGTGCATCCTATTTTCTAGTCCTGGCTCACAGTCCCAGCCTTGCCCCCCTGGCATAAACATCTAATCGGAAAAACACAAACTCTTCCACTTGGGGTTTTCCCACTGTGCTGTAAGTCTGTATATAAGGCTTCTCCCTCCCTGCAATAAAGGTCAGCCACACATTCTCTAAGCAAACGACTGGACATCTTGTCATTCATTTAAATCTCCAGGCTTTTCGCCAGATACATTAGACTTGCTCGTGGCGGGGGCACCACACTCTGCTCATTGTCTACTTATGGATCTTTGTGATAATTACCATCTATTACAAGAAGAAATTTCTTTGATGAGGGCTGAACAGTAATGATCTGAGCTATGAGTCTAGTGATAATTAGGAGTCATTTCATTGCTATGTTCCTTTAGCAGAATAAGAGAGGGGAGTTTTCCATTAGATAAGGCTTATGACCTAGCTAGTCTCAGAATCCTGGCAACTTTAGCAGTATCAGTTATGGGCTCCATCTTTTTCAGTGAGCCTTCAATTAAGTCCAAAAGTCATTGCTCAATCCCATAACATTGGCTCTGCTATTGCACCAGTATATTTTGCAGACAGTTCTCTGTGGTAGGTGGCAGGGTTCACAGCCCAGTGATATTGATGACTACCTTTCTACTCCTGTAATGTACAAAATACCCTTCAGCATGTACACTAGTCAGTAAGGGGGGGGGGTTGCATCTAGTTGGGCATCTGGTTGACTTCTCCAGGTTTGATGTAAAAGTAAGTTGTATCTTCAGTAGAAGGGCTGAAATTATGGAGGGTAGTCAATAGCCTTGGCTCTATCCTGTGATTTTGAGGGGTATATCAAGAGGACCAAGGACCTTCTTGGCCAACAACGCAGTAAGAAGCAACCCATTCCTGCCACTGGAGGTTTTACTTGGTGGCGTAAGATGTCCAATTTGGGCACTGCCTCTTCCATTACATGGTGAGTACATTTAAATTCCTTTCATATATTTCTGTATTTTAGGAAACATCTACACATTAGTAGGTTTCCATGTGACTTTTCAAAAGGCATTTAGTGTCAGTTGTCCCTCCTCATGCTCTCTTTGGAGTATCTGTACATTTAGTGTTTTGATTATTGTGTGTCACGGGGACTTTCATTTCTGATCCAGTCTATTAGGTGTTCTGTACTGTGATAGGTATCTCTTTCCTTGGACTGTGAAAATTTTCTAAAATTTTATTAAAAATATTTTCTAGCCAGGTATTGGTGGCACACACCTTTAATCCCAGCACTCAGGAGGCAGAGGCAGGCGGATCTCTGTGAATTTGAGACCAGCCCAATCTACAAGTGAGTTCCGGACAGCCAGAGGTGTTGCACAGAGAAACCCTGTCATGAAAAACAAAACAATATTTTCTGTTCCTTTGGCCTGGGCCTCTTCCCCTTCCTCTATACTTAAATTATTTGTAGGTTTGGTCTTTTCATGGTGTACTAGATTTCCCCTCTGGTGAGTATTTTGTACCTGGTTGTTTTTTGTTGTTTTTACTTGATGTTTTTCAAGTCTAAGCTATCCATTTGTTTTACCTTGTCTTCAAGACCTGAAATACTCTCTTCCATGACTTTTAATCTATTGTTGAGGTTTACCTCTGAGATTTTTGACAGCTTGAGTTTTTCATTTCTAGCTTTATTTCCATTTGAGTATTCTTTTATGATTCTATTTATTAAATTGTTTTTTCAAGTCTCATATTTTATTTATTCCATCTATTTGTTAATGACAATTATTTGTTCAGAGGGTGGTGGTAGTGCCTGCTTTAATCCCAGAATTTGGGAAGCAGATCTTTATGATTTTGAGTCCAGCCTGGTCTACAGAGCAAGTTCCAAGACAGCCAAAGCTATAGGGAGAATCCCTGTCTCAAAAAACAGAAAACAAAAGACTTATTCATATCTTCTTTATGACCTTTAAACATATCAGTAATTTTTATTTTAAAGTTCTTGTCTTGAACTTCAGCTAAAATTGCTTTTCTTGGGAACTAACACAATAAGATTGATACTTTTGTAGGAGACACTTTTTTTTTTTTTTTGGTTTTCCACATCTGTGTTTTTGTGCTAGGATCTAAACATCTGGAGTCATGGTGCTTGAAGTGTTTCTTGTTGTAGATGTCTGCTATCCTCTTTGTTATACTGATGTTCTATTCTTTGGTTGCTGTTGCTCACTCTGTGCCCAAGTCAAGTGTGGCAGCTGTGGGGTCCCTGGTAAGGAACAGTTCTGCAGGTGGATTTTAAGTCATAGAGAGTGGAGATTATCTACAAAGAATGGCTGAAAGGGCTTTTGGGGAAGAACTAGGGGGACTCTGGGTCTGCAGCAAGAGGTAGAATTTCAAGGGGGGTTCTGAGAAGAAAGGCTCAGACAGGCAGGTTGTAGCAGTCGTAGGGCTTAATCTTGAAGAGATGCGACTGGAGGACAGGAAGAACAGTGAAGGCTGACTACTTTCCTCCCAGCCTACTGTGGAAGTTATGGGTCCCAGGTAGAGAGAGTCACAAAAGAATGAAGATGTCTGGAAGAAAAGGCTGAGAGGGGACTCCATGAAGAACGAGGGGTTCCTAGGTGTGCACCAAGAGGTTTAGTTCCTAAGCAATGGAGGCAGTCTAGCTTATCTTTCATTTTCTGTTTTTTTTTTTTTTAATTAGCATAGAAGGGGACTGGAGAGATGGCTCGAGGGTTAAGAGCCCTGGCATTTCTGGGAGAGAACCCAGTTTCTTTCCTAGCACCCACACAATGGTGGCTCCAAAAAGTCTTTAAGTCCAGTTCCAGGGTCTCTGATACCCTCTTTGGGCCTCTTTGGGTATCAAGCATACACATGGTACACAGACTCACATGCAGACAAAATACCCATACACATAAACTTAAAACAAATAGCATTCAAGGTATTCTATATCATTATGACATTGCATTTTTGAAATTTTCATATGTATGGTGTTTTTGCCTGCCTGTATGTATATATGTGTAACACATGTGTGCAGTGTCCCTCAAGACTAGAAGGTGTTGGAGCCTCTGCATCTAATTAGAGATGTTTATGAGCCACCATGTAGGATACTGCAACTTGAACCCAGGTCCTCTGAAAGAACAGCCAGTGCTCTTAACCACTGAGCCTTCTCTCCCCTCCCTCCTTATGTTTTTTTTTAATAAAGTGCTTTAGTCATTCTCCTTCTGCCTTATCACTATCATCCCGTTACCTTTAGTTTCCCTTTATAGTTTCTCAAGTTTAATGTCCTGTGTGTTTTCTTGTTCCTCCTCATCTTCCTCAGAGAAAAATGGCATGTTGTGTGTCAAGTGCAGTTCTTAGACTGTAATGTAAGACAGGGTCACTATGCAGCTATGCAGACCAAACTGGCCTTTAACTCAGAGAGATCCACCTTTCTGCCGGATGCTGGAAATAAATGTATGCACCACCACTCCTGGCCACCACTGTTTCTAGTTTAGATTTCTGGAGGCCAAACCTGCAAATGCCACAAAACACAGGCACCAGACCAACAAACAATAATTTCTGGGACACCCATCATAGCAAGGATCCCAAATTAATTAAAAAATTGGTTAATTAAATATAAAAACATGGAGACAGACACTACTCAAATCCCAAAACAACAAAAATAGTTTCCTTAGGTCCACTGTTACTAATGGTGCCTGTACTAGTCTATCCAGGTTCTTGGCATCTTGTTCAAAGAATTTAAGAAGGGCCAGAGAGATGAGTCAGCAGTTAAGAGACCTTACTGCTCTTCCTGGAAAACCGAGTTCGATTCCCAGGACCCAGGTCTGGAAACTTACAGACTGCCTATAATTCCAGTTCCAGAGGACCAGCTAGTTCCTCAGGCATCCACACACAAGAGGTATATACTCACGCAGAAAACATAAAAAGGAAAAAAAAAGTTTAATAAAATAAGGCCCATAGCTGTGTGCACTAAACGACACACTAAACGACACAAAACAGAAACTGAGATGGCTTTAGCGATGGCAGAGAATCAGCAAACTCTGAATTTTGTCATCTTTTGGCCCAGCACCCAGCCCATCTCCCGATTTTAGTTCTGTAGAGACATCATCCAGCGACAGTTGGCGCTCCGCGGAGGCAGCTGTGGTTCCTAGCGCAGGAGGACGGTTAAACTCCAGTTCTAAGGAAGAGACAGACAAAGGATTCTGGGAGCTGCGGGCAGCTCACGCGCGAACTGGTTAGTTGTGCGTTGGTAACTGTCCTACACCCTGGGTCTGGGCCTGGAAAGTGAAGACTCATTCCTCCCGGGGAGGTGGGAGGAAGTGGCCACAGGACCCAGGCCTGGCAGGGAAGTGGTGTAGGGCCACTGCCCACCACAGGAGATTTGGGTGGTCCTGTTGATCACTGTGAGGTTATCTCACACATCACCCTGTGGTGATTGTGGCATAACATCAAGCTGGGTTTAGTCTGGGTTTGAATTTAAAAGACTGGAAAGGAGACCCAAAGACCTTTATCAGTTGCCAAAGGGGACACCGGATGTACACTCCAGTACTGCGTCTATATAAGGATACTTCAGTCTCTGGTGGTGAAGATGTAGGAGGAAGTTAAGTTTCCTGATAAAAGTAGATTTCCACATCGGTAAGTCTTCTCATCAGAAAATTTAGGACAGGAAATGGCTCCAAGAATGACAAGATAAAACAGTAATAGTCAACTCTATGGCTGTTGAGGACCATCAACATTTGACCCAGGATGTCTGAAATGAAATAAGGAAACAACACTCAAAGTTCTTTAGAAATTCAGGTTTAGGACCCCCCCAAAAAAGATAATCACATCATAGTCATTGAAAAGATTAAAAGAAAGAAGCCAGTCCCAGATTTAACTATTTTGGATAGTTACTAGATAAATTGTTTCATCTGTCCTTAAGAAGCAAGAGCTATCCTTTGCTGAGTAGAACCCAAGAAAATCTGCTTCAATACATATATTTCTCAGTTAGTGGGTAAAACTGGAGAGTCATGGCATTTGCCAATTACAGCAGTCTTAACCGGGCTCAACTAACCTTTGAATATCTACACACAAATTCAACCACTCATGAATTTTTGTTTGGTGCCCTTGCTGAACTGGTTGATAATGCAAGAGATGCCCATGCCACCCGAATAGATATTTATGCTGAAAGGCGAGTGGACCTTCGAGGAGGATTCATGCTTTGTTTTCTGGATAATGGAGCAGGAATGGACCCAAATGATGCTATCAGTGTGATCCAATTTGGGAAATCAGGCAAACGAACACCAGAGTCCACACAGATCGGGCGGTATGGGAATGGGCTAAAATCAGGCGCAATGCGTATTGGGAAGGATTTCATCCTATTCACCAAGAAGGAAGACACCATGAGCTGCCTCTTCCTGTCTCAAACCTTTCATGAGGAAGAAGGCATCGATGAAGTGATAGTCCCATTGCCTACTTGGAATATGCAGACCCGAGAGCCTGTCACAGACAATGTGGAGAAGTTTGCCATAGAGACAGAGCTCATCTACAAGTATTCTCCCTTCCACACTGAGGGAGAAGTGATGGCTCAGTTCATGAAGATTTCTGGGAATAGTGGAACCCTGGTGATCATTTTTAATCTCAAGCTCATGGATAATGGAGAGCCTGAACTAGACATAGCCTCAAATCCGAAAGATATCCGGATGGCAGAGCTATCCCAAGAAGGCATGAAGCCGGAGCGGTACTCCTTCTGTGCCTATGCTGCTATGCTCTACATCAATCCCCGGATGAGGATTTTCATTCACGGCCACAAAGTGCACACCAAAAAGCTCTCCTGCTGCCTGTACAAGCCCAGGAAGTACACATTCGCATCAAGCCGTTTCAAAACCCGGGCAGAACAAGAGGTGAAGAAGGCAGAACAAGTAGCACGGCTTGCTGAGGAGAAGGCCCGGGAAGCAGAGAGCAAAGCTCGCGCATTGGAGACACACGTAGGTGGAGACAACTCCAGGGACTCCAGGGTGATGTTGCGGCAGGTCCAGAACACAGCCATCACCCTTCGAAGAGAAGCTGATGTCAAGAAGAGGATCAAGGATGCCAAGCAGCAAGCCCTCAAAGAACCCAAGGAACTGAACTTTGTTTTTGGGGTCAACATTGAACACCGTGACCATGATGGCATGTTTATTTACAACTGCAGCCGCCTGATCAAGATGTATGAAAAAGTGGGCCCACAGCTGGAAAAAGGCATGACATGTGGTGGGGTTGTTGGGGTCATTGATGTGCCCTACTTGGTCCTGGAGCCTACACACAACAAGCAAGACTTTGCTGATGCCAAGGAGTACCGCCACCTGCTGCGGGCGTTGGGGGAGCACCTGGCACAATATTGGAAGGACATAGCCATTGCCCGGCGTGGAATCACTAAGTTCTGGGATGAGTTTGGCTACCTCTCTGCCAACTGGAACCGACCCCCATCTGATGAGCTGCATTTCAAACGCCGGAGGGCTATGCAAGTCCCGGCCACCATACAGTGCGATTTGTGTCTGAAGTGGAGGACCCTCCCCTTCCAGTTAAGTGCTATAGAAGATGGTTACCCAGACAACTGGGTTTGCTCCATGAACCCTGACCCTGAGCAGGACCAGTGTGAGGCTTTTGAACTGAAGGAGAAGATTCCCATGGGAATATTAAAAAGGGTTCCAAAGACACAAGAAGAAAGGCAGAAGCAGCTGACAGAGAAAATTTGCCAACAGCAGAGGAAGCTTAAGGCCCTTAAGAAAACCAAACCCATTTGTTCCCTAGGGGACCTGAAAAAATTACCTTTGGAAGTAACCATGAGACCTTTCACTAAATGTCCTGCTCAGAGACTTCACTGTCTTCAACCACCTGTGTGTGGAGTGAACAAGAATACCCGAAGAAGACCCCAGTCCATGCATGCTCCTAGACCATCCAGACCGCTCCAGAGGGCTTCTATCTTCTGCCCCAACCCAAAATCTCCTGCTCTAGCAGCCCAAAGAGAGGCCACGCTGCTCCAGCCACCTGAGACACCCCCAAAGCTGGGGAGCCCCATGGTCAAAACTGTAACCCAGCCCACTCCTCTGGTCCAATTCCTGTCAATGTCTGTAGTCCCCAGTTCCAACAACCTTTGTAAGGTGGAAACCCCGGAATCCATGAAGACTCCAGTGACAGAGAAGCCAGATCCTCCCATTAGGCCCTCACTGGTATGGTGTAATCGTAAGCGGAGTCTTGAAGTCTCTGATGAGGAAGAGGCTGAGGAGAAAAGGAAGGAGTCTTGCAAATGGGGCAGACTGACTGTGAATGAGGAAAAGATTCAGGCTAACGAGCTCTCAGACAGTACCGAGGAAGAGAATCCGGCTGACCTCAAGACAGCTGAGAAAGATAAAGGGCTGTACGTAGCGGTTCGCGTGAAAGGAGAGTGCTACAGGGGCCATGTCACCGCCGTGGAGGTGGGCGAGAACGCTGTGTGGTGGAAAGTCAAGTTTGAAGATGTACCCAGGGATGCTACACCGAGAGACTGCTGGGTAGAGAAAGGCAGTGCAAATGTATGGCTGATGAAACCATCGCCAGAGTATCAGAGCACTGATGGGCAGCAAGAGAGTGTGAAAGAAGAGGAAGACACCATGGACCTGCAGGTGATGGCGTTACAGGGCTCCTCCACCTCTGACTGCTACTGCATTGAACCTGACACTACGGCACCAAAGGCCAACCATGAGACCACTGACCTCCTGGTCCAGATTCTCTGGAACTGCCTACGTTATTTTATGCCTCTGAGTTTTTCCATATCCAAGAAGGAGCTGGGCGCAATGAATTCAGAAGAGTTACTGTCTCTTCCTCTGAAAGAGTGTTTTAAGCAATATGAAGCAGGGCTCCAGAATCTCTGTAATTCCTACCAAAGCTGTGCTGACTCCAGAGCCAGGGCCTCAGAGGAGAGCCTACACATCTCTCAAAAAAAGCTCCGGGAGACAGAGGAGAAACTCCAGAAGCTAAGGACCAATGTCAGGGCACTCCTGCAGAAAGCGCAGGAGGACTTAAACATCAGCTCAGATGATGAGCTGGATGCCTACATTGAGAATCTCATCACCAATGAAGACTGAGGGCCCCAGGGACAGATCGACTCCTCTCCCCAGGGCGGCAGCTGCTGGGGAGGAGGTTTCCCTCATGAGTTTCTTCGATTCGTGTGGGACAGCACCTTTGGGAGGGAATAAGACTCTGGATTCTTTGGATCTTCCTCCCTGGATTTATAAATATTTCTTTTTTTAAATAGTTCTTTTGTGTTTCATCCGTGTGTGTAGCTTGCATGCCTGTCCTGAAAGCAGTGGCCTCATAGGCCTTGTGAGCCACCCGATACAGGTGCAGGAAATGGAACTCAGGTCCTCTGTGATAGCTATAAGCACTCTAACTACAGAGACATTTCTGTTGGGCCCAGTTTTTTTTTTTTAAGAGACCATATTTCTATTTTTTAAGATTATTTATTTTATGTATGAGTGCTCTATCTGCATGTATGGCTTTATTCAAGAAGAGAGCATCGGATCCCACCATAAATGGTTGTGAGCCACCAAGTGGTTGCTGGAATTGAACACAGGCCCTCTGAAAGAGCTGCCAGTGCTCTTAAGCATTGAGCCATCTCTCCAGCCCGGAGATGACACTTCTTTTATGTGACTTAAGCAAATGTCAAAGCCTTTGTACTTCTTTGGTTGAGGAATCTGAACCAATCCTCTCAGAAAGTGAAAACCAGAGCCATTCTGAAGTCGGGACAGCTCCATAGGACAGTGGTTGTTTCTCTGCTAGAGGATCAACAGTGGAGATCAATATCTCTCCTAGAGGATGGAAGTGATGAAGGGTCTAACTCCCAGACCTGTGTGGTTCCAAGGGCTCAGACCTGGTAGTGTGTGTGTGTGTGTGTGTGTGTGTGTGTGTGTGTGTGTGTGTGTGTGTGTGTGTGTGTGTCTTTTTGTGTTTTTTTCTGAGGATGGCGGTCATGTCAAAGCAGGCTCAGCATCAAAAAGACTTTTCCTGATGCCCTGGTCCATTGTCTGGACTATGTGGTCTGCAGGCCACCCAGGCAGCTGTCAGGGGCATGCTTGTGATGTTTAGGCAGCCTGATGAATGGATGAATCTTGCTCTTCTAACATCCCATGCATCACCCAATTTCCCGTGGAAGGAGTGATTTCCTGAGGCTGCCATGGAGTCTATGTTCAGAAGAAGGCAGCGTTGACTGTCCAAATCACTGGGCCGGGTACCATTATAAGTGTTGATCTCCAAAGGATTCCCCAGCAAAGGTACAAGTGTGACAGAGCCCTGAGGAGAAGGAGCTCCATTCATGGCTGCCCTCAGTGACTGCTTCCCATCAAAAGCCGTTGCTGCTGTGGCTTTTCTGTATCTTCCTGTTGGGCCCACAGAACTCTAATGCTGCTCTGGAACATTGAGGAGGCCAAGCCTGGGAAGCACATCAGGGCTTCACTTCCAGACAGGGCACAACCTCAGACAACTCATCTGGGTTAAAAACACAGGCACAGGCTGCTGAGCTTTATCTAATGGTTCTCATTCCTATTCAATGGGAACATAGTGGTGAAGGACCCTGGCCCCAGAGGTCATCGGTCTTTCCCTACTTATGCACACATGATATGAAAGTGCTTATCGAGGGCTGGAGAGATGGCTCAGAGGTTAAGGTCACTGACTGCTCTTTCAGAGGTCCTGAGTTCAATTCCCAGCAACCACATGGTGGCTCACAGCCATCCGTTATGAGATCTGGTGCCCTCTTCTGGTGTGCAGATATACATGGAAGCAGAATGTTGTATACATAATAAATCTTTTTTAAAAAGTGCTTATTGAACTCTGGGCTTCTGCTGTATGTATGGGCGGTGGTGGGGTGGTAATGGAGAGAGCAGGGGAGACGACACATGGGGAGCTTTTTGAGGAGAATACCATTCAGAAGTGGTCTTTTCTGAAGCATTCTCCAAGAGAAAGGTTTTCCCTGAGCTGATGAGCATTACTCCTCCCCAAATGCAGCCCTCTTTTGATCCCACCTAGGTAGGGTGTAGTCCATTGTTCCCAAACCCTCTCCTCTCTGTCTCTCCCTCTCTCCCCTTCTCCCTCCCTCTCTCTCTCTCTCTCTGCCTCCCCTCTGTCCCTCCCTCCCTCCCTCCCCCTCTCCCCCCCTCTTTTATTCTATTTTTTGATTTTTTGAGATAGGGTTTCTCTGTGTTAAAGCCCTAGTTGTTCCGGATAGACTAGGCTGGCCTGGAACTCACTGAGATCCTCCTGCCTCTGCCTCCTGAGTGCTGGGATCAAAGGTGCACACCACCACCATGGCCCGGCATAAGTGTTTTCTTATTTTTGCTCCACATACCCCTGTGGCCAGTGTTAACAGGAATAAGCAGGTTAACCCCTACTACCCTTCCCTGGGAACTGGCTCACTCTTCATTATTCCATGAAGCCAAAAAGGCTGTAACTCAAAGTGAGAGGAGAAAAAGAGAAGATAGACAAAGCATGTAGACTGGTGAATATTGACGAAAATTGGCCGAGGCATGAAGTAAACTGCATTCAGACAGTTTTCCTGCGCTAACACTAATGGCGAAGCACTGAGACTCCTTACCAAAATGGACATTGCCTTGAATGACAGTGTTGTAGGTACATATCTGAGTCTGGGGGACACCTACTAAGATATACAGGTTCTCGTGTCCCAGAACAAAAAAAAAAAAAAAAAAAAAAAAAAAAAAAAAAAAAAAAAAACAAAAAACTGCTCGAGGAGCTATAGTTAGTAAAGGAAACAGTTTTTTAAAGAAACACAAAGCAGGCTGGTTAGATAGCTCAGCAGGGGCAGGCACTTGCCATGCAAGCCTGGTGACCTGAGGTGGGTGGAGAGAACCGACTCCACAGAGTTTTCCTGTAGCTATCATTCGGGCATCGTGTCAATACCCCCTCCACGTGCACACACACCCAAACCCCATCACAAACATCATGCATGCACAGACATAAACATAAAACTTAAAAAAGAAAAGAAAGACAGCCTGGAGAATAGAGGTAGGCTAGAGAATTGAAAAAAAGCACACATGCAAAAACATCCGGTCACCAGGCAGTGGTGGCACACACCTTTAATCTCAGCACTTGGGAGGCAGAGGCAGGTGGATCTCAGTGAGTTTCAAGGTGAGCCTGATCTACAAAGCGAGTTCCAGGACAACCAGGACTGTTACACAGAGAAACCCTGTCTCAAAACAACAACAACAACAACAAAAACTTCAGGTCCTGAGTCTAATGACAATTTATAGGTCAATTACTCACTTCTCCTCCATCTACACTGTAAGCTCTTGTTGGGTAAGTTCTGCTGGTTGTAGATAGCCCACATGGGAAATGGCTTTCAGTCTTTTCCTGTCAATTGGTTTCTTTTCATATGCTATCTTGTTTCCAGGGCTCCTGCTGCAATGCTCCTCAGCCCCCAAGTTATGGTCCTAGAAATCTTTTGGGGGAAAGAGGGCAGAAGGCTGATGGTTAATAAGTTCCATACTATATTCTCTGACTAAGAGGGACCACAGAACTCTCTCTTCCTGCCTTACAAGACTGGAGAGGAGGTTTTGGAGTTGACTTGAATTCTGTTATAGGTGTTTAGTTGGAAACTGTTATATATCTAGAAAATACAGATTTCACAAGATTGAAAATACAAGGTCTGGGGCTGGAGAGATGGCTCAAGCAGTCTTCCAAAGGACCTAGGTTCAATTCCCAGCACTGTGGCTTTGGGTCATGAGTCTAATGACAATTTATAGGTCAATTACTTCTCCTCCATCCACACTAATGGGTAAGATTGAGTATGTATGAAAATATAGAATGCATTGTAAAATGAATCCAGGTGTAGAATAGATTAAAAGAAAAATTGTCTGAGGTTATAATCAAGTACCAACAATGCCAAAAGAAAAATAATGAAGAAAGCCTACACATAAAGGAAGGTTAAAAGCAGTGTTTAATTTAGAAATATAATTTATCTTTGTATTATGGCTGACATGGCTATGGTTATCCTATCTGTCACGTCCACAGCCCATACTCAAAGTGGAATGAGAAGTCCTGTAAAGACTGAATCATCTTCCTTTTAATTAATTAATTAGTGAGTGACAAGCCATCTTGCACTTCAACAATGACAATCAGTAACTCATTTCCTCAGGTTCTCTTGCCTCAGCATCAGGGAATGACAGTCTGTGAAGCTCTGTGTCCCTTGTCAGTCTGTCTCTGAAGTTTTAGAACATGTTTTATCTTTTTGTGTGTATGAGGTCCCATCTCACTCAGGTAGCCTAGGCTGGCCTCCAAATTCCTGTATCAATAAGGCTAGCCTTGAACTTCCTCTTTATCATCCTGCTTCCATCTCCTGAGCACTGGGAATATGCTGCCAAACTAGGTAAATTTTGCCTCCTGTATGTGTATTTCACTGGGGTATGTGTGGGCTGTCTTTTGATTGACAGACAGGCTTGAGTTTGTAAGCTGCTGTTCAATAAGCATGTCCTTTTCCATGAAACATTTGTTTTTAATTATATCCATGCATTTCCATGCATAAGCCAATATGGTAATTATAGGATTTTTTTTCTCCCCCTTAATTGTACATTCTGGGGGCCTGGTTACCTTATTGTACATGCACCTAAAAGCAGTTTAAAAGGAGCTAGCACACTGCCTCTAGTCCCAGGATGTATCTGATCATAAACCAAACTTAAAACTATTTTAAAAAGGGAGTACTTGGATGGGGTTAAATGTTGCCTGTTTGCCAAAGAACATGTGTGACCACAGCCAGAACTCTCCCCTCTCCCTGTATAGGACCTCTTCTCCCCAACCCCCACAGACTGCCTGCCTCACGTTTTCACTGTGATCTTGGTGTGATACACAGGCTGCTTGCCAAAGCTGATTCCAACTACCCACCGCTCACACCTCCATTCTCTTTTCAATCGTCTGTAGTGCTAAAGCTCCAGTTTCTCTGGATAATTAAGTTTTAATGTCCTTCTGGTGATATTTTTATTAACTGAGCTAATAGTGTGAGAGATGATTCGAGAGAGAAATCCTTGTCCACAAAGTGCAGTACCTTCTTCAAATTTCTCGACGTAATACAGTCTCAAGACCC